AGCCTCCCACCCGCTACCGAAGCGTGGCGCAGATGGAGGGCCGAACCTCCATGTAGTTCCGTCATTAGCTAAAAGGGAGGCTAATTCTCCTAATTCGTCAGATGAAGCTGACAATAATTTCTGAAGCTCATTGTCAGCTCCTTTTAGATTTGATCCGCAGTCGCTCATTAATGTTGCACTGATCCCTCTTCTTGAGATAAACCGTTTATAAGCTGCGAGGAAGGCTTCTGTAGAACAATCAGTAACTAGTTCGATGTGAACTGCAGATGTGGACATACAAATAAACAGAGCGATCCAGGCTTTATATGTACGAGAGTTTCTCCCTTTCCAGTTTCTAAAATGAAAGGGTCCAGCATAATCAATGCCTGAATTGAGAAACGGCCGAGATGATATCAACCGTTCCGGAGGGAGTTGGCCCATGATTTGTTTCGCTCGTTGTTGTCTGTATCTGGCACAACGGACACACTTTAGTATAAAGGATCGAACAGGTGCTCGTCCACCAATGATCCAATACTGATTTCGGATGAACGATAGGGTGGCTTGAGTCCCTCCGTGAAGGGTTCGTTGATGAGCATCTAAGATAATTAACGAGGTGAGTGGAGAATGTCGAGGAATTATGACCGGATGTTTGCTACACTCTGGTAATAATGCTGATTGGAGACGGCCTCCGACGCGGAGAAATCCTTCGGAATCAATGAATGGAGTGAGACGCAATAAATTATTAGAGTTAGGCAAGGGTTTGCCTTTTGACAAAAGCTCCATTTCCTTTTGGAAGTAGGAGACCTGAATTCCTTTCACCCAATACTTTTGTGCGGTTTCTAGTTCTAAAGGGGTGATAGATTGCAATTGCGAAGGCCGATGCAATTTTTTAAGACGAGACCTCAACCTCATGCAGAGAGCCGTTATTCTAAAAAGACGTGTGAGACTGGAATATCTATATATAAGATCCCAAAGTTGAGGTGTAGTGTGAGTCGAAGTAAGAATGTGTTTTGGATTTTCTTCCAAATTTTCCTTTCTAGTATGGAACTGAGGCTCGGAAGGCCAAAGTTCGGGAGTTTGTTGCAGCCAGGGAGGACCTGATGCCCAAATAGAGAAATTCTGTAATTGAATTGGAGAAAACCCTCGGGTCGCACAGTCTGCTGGATTTTCTTTGCCTGGAATAAATCTCCATTTAGCTTGAGGCAGCGTCTCTTGGATAGAGCTAACGCGATTGCGTACAAAGTCCTTCCAGCGTGAAGGATGGCTTTGTATCCAAGTATAAACAATCGAAGAATCAGTCCATAGTAAGATAGGAGCTTCGTTGAATTTTAAACTTTGTACAACACGTGAAGTTAAGTTCGTTAACAACCATGCTCCTAATAATTCGAGCCGAGGAAATCAGAGTAGGCAGCAGCGAAGTTTGGATCAGTGGACAACCGTTTTTGCTGATGATACATTATATTCAGTGCCTTTATGCGGGAATTGCCCAACTCCGTTGGAGAACGTTTTAATGGAAGCCTAACAATGTATCGACCCTCCTTATCCCGTGCATGATTGCTTTTATAATGATTTTCACAGTTTTCTTCTTCCTTTGATAAACGAGATGGGGGAGTGAGATTAAGGTCCTCAACTTTCCAAAATTGTTGCAACAGCTCATACAAGTCGTTGTCAGAGGAAACACAATAGCTGTGTGACACGGCAGGGACAATGTGTTGGTTAGTGTTTCCGGATAAAATCCAACCGAGTTTGATTCGTTGAGCTATAGGTGAGGTCGAACTTCCTTTAATAAGGCCTTCTTCTATTATATGAGAGTAGAAGTCGACTCCAATGATTAGATCAATGGGTCCTGGCGTTGAGTAACCAGGATCGGCTAAGGTCAAGTCTTTCAAGTGTGGCCAATCCTGAGTGGGAAATTGAACTGATGGAAGAGAATTAGTTAATTTTACTAATATGTGCGCTGTTATGGAAAGTTCAATACTAGAGTTGAAGTGAGATTGTATTGTAAACGAAGTCGACCCTTTCGTTTTATTTGACCTTTTTCCACCAACTCCAACTAACGAAATAATAGAATGCTTCCTTGGTAGATGAAGTAGCTGAACAATTCGTTCAGAGATTAACGTAAGTTCTGAGCCTTGATCAATTAAAGCTCTTGCTTCTACAATTTGTCCCTTATCAGAGACAATTCGAACTTGAGCGGTCGCCAACAAAACATTTGAGGGGATAGAGCAATGATTTATAACTGCTTGAGGAAGGTTTGTTTCTGGTGGCTTGGATTCACATGGTTGGTCAGCTCGTGACTTTTCGATTTGAGCAGGTTTCCCTTTCGATTGAGTGTTCTGATGAAGAGTGGTATGGTGTTTCCGTCCGCATTTTGTACAACGCTTAGTTGTGCGACAGGCGGAAACCTTATGATGCCCAAGACAGTTATAGCAAAGCCCTTTCTTCTGAACGAGAATGTTCCTTTGTTGAACGATTTTAGAGTTGTATTGAGGACAATTTGAAATGTAGTGATTGGAGGCACACAAAATGCATGAATGAGTCCTATCTGTAGAGAATTCCTTAGCCTTACTTTGAAAATGTGATTTCCCAGTGAATGACTGTGAGAGATGAGCAGATTTTCCGGTTCTAGATTTTTCGAATGCCTGAAGAGAGAGTAGGCGTGACATTAGAAATTCATTAAATTGTTTCCATGTGGGAGGTTCTTTCGTTGAGCCTAACTGTTGCTCCCAATATTTGATGGATTCTGAATCAAGACGTTGTACAGTGATAAAAATAAATATATCATCCCATGAGTGGACAGGCCTTTGTAGGGCTTCGAGTGTGCGATAAATTTGAGTTATATTTGAGTATAGTTGTTCCATCTCCGCTACAGATTCCTTGTTCATGCGTTTGAGAGTCATTAAAGAGTGTAGAGCGGAGTGAACAAGAAGCCTTTTATTTTCATAAAATGAAATCAACGCTTCCCATGCCTTTTGAAAGTTCTCAGCTGTCAAAGCTGTGTTCTTTAAAAGCTGGGCAGCTGACCCGGTTAGATTTGTTTTGAGATACTGTAGCTTTTCTACAGCAGTCAATGTGGGATTTGCTATTATGAGAGAGGTGAACAGATCCTTGAAGGATAGCCACTCAGCGGAGGATCCATTGAATTTAGGAATATCAATTCGTGGGAGGCGAGCGTGATGGAGATAAACAGGAGGATTAGAGAATTGTGAAGAGGACGCAGGCTCTGGTGTTTCAGTGAAACTTTCATTATCAATTTCGAGGTAGGAAGTCATTTTCTCTATTGCTTCGAGATAACACTCATACGTGTTTGAATACGAATTGTCTAAGAAGTATGAATGTTGCTTCAATAGTACCTGTTCTCCTTGTGTTATTTTTGTCATGGACAAAGCGATCGCTTCATGCACGATTGAGAATTTTTCCCAAATTTCATGAAGAGCTGATAGCCGAGCGCGTGCTCTCTGAGGTTTAACCTTGCCATGTCCTATTCGGACGAGATTCTCAACTGAACTTGAGATAAGATCCTTGAGATTGAGCTGCTGCTCCAATCGAGCTTCAATATGACTAAGCCTCATGCCTATAGCCGATTGCCGTGATCCGGCTCGAAGGACCAAAATGTTTAGATAATGGTTTATCTGAAAGGCGTTTATCATAAATTAGATAAAATCAATACTGAAAATAAAATCTGTAAATATTTATTAAAGTTATAAAACAGTTTTAATTATAAGGAGTTATAGTCTATTTCCAGTAGCAGTATAAACTTGATGTTCTCTATATCACAGTAACAACCAAAGACATGAAGCCCTTCCTTGAGTCGATGATACATATGTTTGAAGTAAATCAAATTGAAATGGTTAAGATAAAGATAGTTAAAGTTGAATGAACAATATAGAAAAATAAGCATTTATTTCTATGCTGGAATAGGTTAACAAGTTGTAATGAAAATATGCTTGAGAGGACTCTGCATTGTGAGGAAATCATCGAGTTTACCATAATTATAATATTTGTTAAAGATAAATGGTTATCTGTAAATGGAAGTAAGTGTATTTTTTCTAATGCGTATAATCGAGATCACCACGTTCTGACAAGCATTCCAAGACTCATATGCTTATTGTTGAGGTTAGCTTAATTGCTTGTAGACAGTTAGTTTAAGTTAGCCATAATATGTTGATTAGAGAATATAATTTTATATTGAGTAGAGATTGTACCTTTATATTGAGTAGAGAATGTACCTTTATATTGAGTAGAGAATGTACCTTTATATTGAGTAAAGAGTGCACCTTTATGTTGATTAGAGAATGTACCTTTATATTGAATAGAGAATGTACCTTTATATTGAGGAAAGAATGCACCTTTATATTGAGGAGAGAATGCACCTTTATATTGAGTAGAGAATGCACCTGTATATTGAGTAGTTTTGTAGTCTCGAGAGTGACTGTGAGGGTGAGACTACAACTCTAGAGGAGAGGTTCCATTTCTTGGAACACACTGTGGTCGTGAGATCACCCATAGAGACTCAACATATATAAGAGAATAAGACCACAGTGCCTTTCTTCAGACCGTGTTCTGAAGATTAGAGAATATCTCTCAAGATCCTCCCTTCAGACCATGTTCTGAAGGTTTGCCTGTGCACAAGCCGATCTTGAGAGAGAGAGAGAGAGAGAGAGAGAGAGAGAGAGAGAGAGAGAGAGA